CCCCTTCCTACCACCTCCCTCCTTCCCTTTCATACTTCCCCCTCCCTTCTCAACTCCTTCCGCTTCCCTCTCCCTCTCACTCCCTTCCCTTCCCCTTCTCACTCCCTCCCTCCTTCCCCTGTCCCCCTTCCTTCACAAGCCACTCCACCACCAGCCCTCTCCCCTCTCCCCACTACCCCCAGGCCCTCTCCCCTAACCCCCCAGCCCTCTCACCCACTCCCCCAGCCCTCTCCACTCTCCCCACTCCCTTCCCCCACTCACCCCACCCCTCTCCCACTCACCCGCACCCCTCTCGCCCACTCACGCCACCCCCTCTCCCTCTCCCGCACTCCCCACCCTCTCCTCCCCACTCCCCCACCCCTCTTCCCTCCCCACCACCCTCAGCCCTTCTCACCCTCTCCCAGCCCTCTCCCCACTCCCCTCGCCTCCCCTCTCCTACTCCCCACCCCTGCTCCCCCACTCCCACCAACCCCACCCTGCTCCTCTCCCCATGACTCCCCACTCCCGCCCAAAGCCTCTCCCCTCTCCCCACTCCCACTCCCCCCCTTCACCCACTCCTCCCCTCTCCGACTCACCCGTGGCGCCAGCCGTGGTCGAGGCGGCGACGACCCTCTGCCACGGCCCCGCGGTGCCCCCGGACTTGTACACGGTGGGTTCGCTTGGAGGGTCGCAGTGCAGGGCGGCCGGGGGGCAATCCTTCGTGCACCAGAGACCAGGTACGCCGCCGTCCTTGCTGTACTGCAGAGGACGGGGGAGCCCCCTCGGGGACGGTCTCGTCGGCGTCGCATCCCACGCTGATCTGGAGGAGGAAGGGAGGGAGGGGGTGGGGAGGGAGAGGGTGAGAGAGAGGGAGAAGACGGAGAAGAAAAGAAATTGTCTGTTTTTTTTAAAGTTTTTAAAAATTTTTTTTCAGGTTTAAGGTTTTTCGTTTGTGTTTGTGTGTGGGTGTGTTTTTTTTCTGCTTGTTTGTTTGTCGAGAAATGGAAGGGGATGGTGAAAGATGAAAGAGGGAAATGAAGATTTGTTCTGGTTGGTTGAGAAATGGAAGGGGATGGTGGGTGAAGATGGGAGATGAAAAAAAAAGAAATAGTGTGTTTTTTTCTGGTTCGTTGGTTGTAGTTTTGCGTGCGTGTTATGTGGTGTGTGTGTTTCTGAGTGCGGGATGTGTTTTTTCTGAGTTTTTTGAGAAATGTTAGATGGTGAATGAAGATTAAAATGAAAAAAGAAAAGAGATTGTGTAATTTTTTCTGGATGGTTGTAGTTCTTGCGCGTGTTTTCGTTTGTGTTGCGCGTGGTGTTTTTTCTACTTGTTTGAGAAATGAAAGGGGATGGAGAATGGAGATGAAAATGAAAGGAAATTATGTGTCTTTGGAGTTGACTGATTGTGTGTTTCTTTTTTTTTGTATGTGGATGCGTTTTTTTTTTCCTGCTTGTTTGTATGTTTAGAATTAGGGAAAGAAGAAGAAGAAGAAGAAAAAAGCACCTAGAAAAAATCATAAACCCCCCTTCTCTCTTCACGACCCCTGAAGTCCCCCCTTTTCTCCTCCCCCAAAACCCACCTGGAACGACACGACATCTCCCTCCTGCAGCGCCAGCGTGTTGGTGACGGCCTCCCGCACGGGTTCTTCCCCGTCCATGACCTGCGCCGCCTCCTCGCTCCCGCAGAAGGCCCGCTGGTGGTGCCCTGTCACGGTCAGCCACGGGGAGGACACCATCGCGTTGGGCTGCGTGGGAGAGGGGGGATGAGTGGATGGCTGGGTGAGTGGATAAGGTGGATAGGTGGATAAGCTGGTGGTGCTCTGTCACTGTTAGCCACGGCGGGTACATCATTGGACAAGAGGGAGGGGGGATAGAGAGGGAACAGGTGAAAGGGAGAGGGAAGAGGTAGAGAGAGAGAATGGAGAAGAAAGAGGGAGAGAGAGGGAAATGGAGAGGAGAAGAGGGAGAGAGAGAGAAATGACAAAGGGAGAGGGGAGAAAGACGGGGAGACAGAGACACGCAGAAAATGAGACAGAGACACGGAGAAAGGGAGACAGAGAGACAAAGATACAGATACATAGAGACACAAAAAGACAGACAGGCAGGCAAACGAATAGAGAAAGGGACAGATATACAGAGATTAACAGAGATATAAATAGAGAGACACAGAAAGAGAGACAAAAAGACGGAGACAGGCAGACAGAGAGACGAAGACATACAGAAAGAGAGAGAGAGAGAAAGAGAGAGAGAGAGAGAGATACAGAGACAGAAAAGAGTGAGACGTAAACAAGATAGAAACAGAGACACCGAGAGAAAAACCTCCTCTCTTCCACCCTTCCTCCCTCCCTCCCTCCTACCCCCCCTCCAAACTCACCGCAAAATCAGCCTGGATGCTGGACACCTGAACGTCAGCCATGATTTTGAGGCTGTCCACCGCCCACTGGTTCCTCCCGTAGTGGGCGGGCTGCCATATCCGGAACCTCACCACGCCCGACTCGCCCTTGACCACCTCGTCCTCGAGCTTCATGCGGAACAATCTGGAGGGGAAGGTTTTGTAGTTAGTTGGAGGAGGGTGAGAGGGGGGAAGCATGGAGAGGGAGAGGAGGAGGGGGAGAATGAAAGAGGGAGTGAGAGGGAGAGATTGGAAGAGGGAGAGCGGAGGAAAGAATGGAGAGAATGGAGAGAGAGAGGGGGGGGGAGAATGGAAGAGAGAGAGGAGAGAGGGAGAGAAGGAGGGAGTGAGAGTTTGAAAGAGGGAGAGCTGGATGGAGAGACTGAGAGAGGGGAGGGAGAGAAGGACGGAGTGAGAATTTGAAAATAGGGAGAGAGAGGAGAGACAGAGAGAGAGAGAAAGTGGAGGAGGAAAAGGAAGCAGAGGGGAGATGGAGAGGTGAGATGAGGTGGAGATGGTGGCGAGGGAATGATGTGGAAGAGGAGGGGTGGAAGAGAGAGGTGGAGACGTGGCTATGATGGAGGGAGAATGATGTGGAGGAAGGCGAAAGGTGTGGGGGAAAAAGGGCATATTTGGTGATATTTAACGCAGGTGCATTTTTTATTCGTAATATGTATTAAATGGATACGTTTATTAAGATACGAAATTACAATAATTGAGAGATACAAAGATACCCCACTCATCCCCTTCCCCCCCCCCCCCCCACCCAAAAAAAAAACACTCATTAACCCCTATCCCCCCACAGACCCTCCAACCCCCTCCCCCCACAAAAAAAAACGCCTGGGCCTCCCCCACCCACCACCCCGCCCACCAACCCACCTGGGCCTCCTGTACTCCTCCGGCAGAAGCTCCTGCAGCAGCGTCCACGCGATGCCTCCGTCAGTAGAGTACTCGACGACGACGCTGCCGGCGCTGAGGGAGTTGAGGTCCTCCTCGGGGCTGCAGGAACCGCCCTTGCCGCCGCCCACCACCAGGACGAACTGCAGGATCTCCAGGTCGTGGGCGTTCAGGTCGTCCGTCTCCAGCTGACGAAGGCCCAGCTGGGGAGGGGGAGAGGGGGAGAGTGAGAGAGAGGGAGGTGTGAGAGGGAGGGAGGGGGAGTGGGGGAGAGGGGGGAAAGGGGTAGAAGCGGGAGAGGGAAGAGAGAGAGAGAGAGAGAGAGAGAGAGAGAGAGAGAGAGAGAGAAGAGAGAGAGAGAGAGAGAGAGAGAGAGAGAGAGAGAAGAGAGAGAGAGAGAGAGAGGAGAGAGGGGAGAGGGAGGGAGAGAGGGGGGAAGAGAGTGAGGGAGGGGAGAGATGAGAGGTGAGGAGAGAGAGTGAGAGAGGAGAGAGAGAGGAGAGAGAGAGAGAGAGAGAGAGAGAGAGAGAGAGGAGAGAGAGAGAGAGAGAGAGAGAGAGAGAGAGAGAGAGAGAGGGGAGGTGGGAGGGAGGAGAGAGAGAGAGAGAGAGAGAGAGAGAGAGGAGAGATGAGAGAGAGTTTGAGAGTGAAATGGAGGGGGAGAGATGGAAAACAGAGATGGAGAGTCTATGATACGGGAGACAGATAGACGAAAGGTGGAAGAGAGAATGATAATGAACGAAGGACATGCAGAATCGCAGAAAATTATTATCAGGAATAGATTAATCAAAAATACCAATCAGAACAGACTAATTAGAAATATCAATTGGAACCGATTAGTTACAATCATTAATCAGAATAGATCAATTAGAAATATTGATTAGAACAGATTAGTCAAAAACTAATTAGAACAGATTAGTAAAAAATATTAATGAGAACATATAAGTAAAAAATATATTAATTAGAAGAGATAAGTTACAAATACCAATCAGAAGAGATTAATTAGAAATACTGATTAGAAGAGATTAGTAAAATATGTGAATTAGAACAGATTAATCAGAAATATCAATCAGAAAGATGATTTATGAATATTAATGAGAACAGATTAGTAAAGAAAAAAAATCAGAACATGAGTTAGAAACATCAATCATAAAACATAAGTTAGAAATATACGGCCGGTTTGTTAGAATTGTGCGAACCCAAAGAATATATACTTGACATGCATAAATAAATAAATAAACGCACATTTATCAGTCTAGACATGCGTATCAACCGGTAGATGGTTGAATGTATATCTATCAGATATATAAACTATGCCTTTATTTCTGCATCTGTATTTATGAAAATTAATTGGGTCGGGCCTGGCACACATTTAACAAACCGGCTGATAGACCAAAAGAAATAACTTAGAAACATGAATTAAAACAGATTAGTTAGAAATACTAATTATAGCAGATTAGCTAGAAATATCAATTAGGAAAAGTTATCTAGAATTATCAATCAGAAAAAAGTATTAAGAGATATCAATACAAACAGATGAATTGGATACATAAAAACGAATGAAATATAGATGAAAAAAGTAAATATACAGAATATAGAATAAATATAAGGTTTAATTAAGATTTTATAAAGTCACTATTAACAATATCTCATCGTTAAAAATATACATTAAACTCGTATTTGTATTTAGAAAAAAATATATATACAACGAAAAATTTATTTAAAACCGAAGGAAAGGCGAAATTATGAAAGATGATGAATAAATGGATTAATTATTTCATCAGAGACTAATTCAAAGGTTTTGAAAAAAAAATGATAGTAATTTTTTTTTCGTTTGTTTGTTTTTTTGTTTCTTTTCAAACTAGTTTCCCTTTTCAATTAATTTCGTTTATATAGTTCTTCTTCTCCCTACTTTTATCCCTATTCTTCCCTTCTTTCCGCTATTTCCTTCGTTTATCTTTATTTCTTCCCTATTTCTACTTTTCGTTTTCGTTTTTCTACTTTACTTCCTTCTTTTTTTCCGCTTCATTCTTTTTTCCCCTTTTCTCATTTTCTTCTCCTTCCCACCTCACCTTTTTTCTCTCTCATTCCTTCTTTTTCTCTTTTCCTTTTCCCTATTTGTTCCCTCTCCTTCCTATCTCCATCCTTCCCTCCTCCTCCCTGCCATCCCTCCCCCTTCTCCTACTCCTCCCTTCCCCAACTCTCACCCTTCCTCCTCTCCCCCCACCTCCCCATCCCTTCCCTCCTCCCTCCCCCCCTCCTCCCACCTCCTCCCTCCCTCCCTCCCCCATCCTCCATCCTCCCCACCTCTCCCCCCCTAAAAAAAAAACAAGACTCACCGCTCCGAAATACAAATTTTTTCCCGCCACGACGTTGCCACATCCCTCGTCCGGCGTTGCCAAGTTTCCCCCGACGAGGCGCAGGTCGAAGTCCCGGATGTCGTCCTCGCCGTCAAAGGAGGCGTCGATATGGCGGTGTAGTTTGTGCAGCGGGAGGCACTTGTGGCCGTGGTAGGCGGCGTCGCAGCTGCTCGCGCGGGGAGGAGGGAGTTAATGTGGATAAAAATGGATAATATGGGATACTGAGGATGTATAATAGCCAAAGGGGAGAGGTGAGAGGATGGATAATATGGGATATCGGGGAGGTACAATAATTGCATGTATTCAGTACCTATCTACCTATTTATCTATCTACAGTTACCTATCTGTCTACTTATATCTACATATCGGTATATCTATCTATCTACCTATCTATCTATATCTGCATCTATATCTGGTAACTATATCTGCTATCTGTATCTACATCTGTATCTGCTATCTATATCTGTATCTGTATCTCTATACCTGTATCTATATCTGTATCTATATCTGTATCTATATCTATATTTGTATCTATATCTGTATCTAGATCTAGATCTGTATCTGTATCTGTATCTATATCTGATCTATATCTATATCTGTATCTATATCTATCTATCCATCTATCTATCTATCTATCTGCCTACTTACATAACCATCTATCTACCTATCTATCTATCTATCTATCTATCTATCTATCTATCTATCTATCTATCTATCTATCTATCTATCTATCTATCTATCTATCTATCTATCTATCTATCTATCTATCTACCTACTTACATAACCATCTATCTACCTATCTATCTAATCAATCAATCAATCAATCAATCAATCAATCAATCAATATATCGATCTATCTATCTACCTACCTAAAATATAACCATTCTATCTACCTATCTCTCTAATCTATCTATCTATCTACCATCTATCTATCCCTACCCCAACGCCGCCCCCAGCCCCTCACCTGCACCCCAGCGACGTGCAGCGGCCGTGCCCCGAGCAGAGTCCAGGGCACTGCCGCCCGATGTACAGGTCGTCGACCGCCCAGGCCTCGCCCAGGTCGCTCTCCAGGTCCTGTCGCAGGCGCAGGCGGGTCGTCGGGGACCTGTAGGAGAGGAGGGAGAGGTCGAAGGTCGAGTGTGGTGTTGTGGATGGAGGTTGTGGATAGGTCTGCGCGGTGTCTGTCTTAACCTTGTTTTTTTTTTTTTTTTGGGGGGTGGGAGTGAGTGGGGGGTTTTGTTATCTCTTTCTCTTTTCTTCTTCTTTCTCTGTTTGTTTTCTTTCATTGCCGTTGTCTCTGTCTGTCTGTCTGTCTCTCTCTCTTAAAAAGACTTTAAAAAGGGGGAGGGATAACAGTCATAAAAACAATAACAATATCAACAATAATAATAACAACAACAATAAAGATGAACCGTATTCATGTTGACAAATGTGGAAAGGTATGAATGAGAACGAATATCTTCACAATACAAGAGATGTATTTAACCGGTTTCGATTATATCCTCGTCAGAAATACATGTATTTGACGAGGATATAATCGAAACCGGTTAAAGTGTATTTAAAGATACTCGTTCTCATTCATACCTTTCCACAAACAATAAAGATAACAAAATGCAAAAAATCAGAATGAGAACAAATACTCCCTTTACTTAACCCCGCCCTCCCCCTCCCTCACCCTTCTCCCTTCCCCAATCCCCGTCCTTCCCTCTCTATTGCCCAACCCCAATCCCTCCCTCTCCTTACCCAATCCCCCTCCTCTCCCTTCTCCCTTCCCCATTCCCCCTCCTCTCTCCAATCCCCCTCCCTCTTGCCTTCTCCTCCCTCCCCAACCCCCTCCCTCCCCATCTCCTCCCCCTCCCCCAACCCCCTCCTTCCCTCCCCCTCCCCTCCTCCCCAATCCCCCTCTCCCCTCCCCCTCCTTCCCTCCCCCTTCCCACCAACCCCACCCTCCCTCCCAACCCTCCCCACCCTCCCTACCCTCCTCCCTCCCTCCCCTTTCCCCTCCCCCCTCTTCCCTCCCCTCCCCAACCCTCCCCCTCCTCCCCCATTCTCACCAGGTGTGCCTCGGGAGCCTGAGCGTGACCCTCCTCCAGCGGCGGAACTCGGAGGCGAACCAACCCCCCCTTTCCCTCCCTCCCCCCTCTCCCTTCTTCCTCCCTCCCCTACCTCCCCAATCCCCTTACCCTCCCCTCCCCTCCCCAATCCCCCTCCTCCCCTCCCTCCCCAATCCCCCTCCCCTTCCTCTTCCATCTCCCTCTCTTTCCCACCCCCCACCCCACCCCCCCTTCCCTCCCCCATTCTCACCAGGTGTGCCTCGGGAGCCTGAGCGTGACCCTCCTCCAGCGGCGGAACTCGGAGGCGAAGTAGACGGTGCCGCGCGTGAAGTGGTTGAGGCAGCCGGGCGTCGAGGGCGTGCAGGGGCGCTGGACGAGCTGCCAGGTGATGCCGTGGTTGAGGAGTACTCGAGGAGGAGCTGTTGGGGGGGGGGGGGAGGATGGAGGGGAGGATGGAGGGGAGGGAGGATGGGAGGAGGTGGAGAGTGGGTGGGTGGGTGGGGAGGGTGGGTGGGAGGAAGGAGGATGGATGGGGTGGAGGGAGGATGGGTGGGTGGGAGAGAGGGGAGGAAGAGGGAGGGAGGGAGGGAGGAGGGGAGGGGAGGGAGGGAGGGGAGGGAGGGAGAGAGAGAGAGAGAGAGAGAGAGAGAGAGAGAGAGAGAGAGAGAGAGAGAGAGAGAGAGAGAGAGAGAGAAGAGAGAGAGAGAGAGAGAGGAGGGGGGGGAGGAAAGGAAAAGGGGGAAAAGGGTTAAGGTAGAGGAAGAGGAGAGAGGGGAGAGGAGGAAAGGGAAGACGGTGGGTGGAGATGGTGAGAGAGAGGGGAGGGGTAGGAAGAGAGAGTAAGGAGAGGGAAGGGGGAAAGGAGGAGGGAATGTGGGAGGGAAGGTGGAGGAGGGGGGAAACGAGAGAAGGAAGTTGGGGAGAAGAGGAAAAGGGGGAGGGAAGGAAGGAGGAGGGAGAGAAAAAAAGAGAGAAAACATGTTTGGTTAATACAGCATAATGATTACAGAAATGAACATATATATCATACTTGAAAACTGATACCTTAAACAACACTGATACACTGATACTCATCTTAAAAGTAAAATATAACAAAGAGTACAAGATACCAACAAGAAGCTAACATCAGCAAAAAAATAATCATGATCAGACCCTGACAAATACACTTATCTATCCTTACACACACACACTCCATCCCGTACCCCCCCCCCATTTATCCCACCCCCCTTCTCCCTCCGTCACCCGTCTTTCACCTTTCACTCCCGCTTTCCCCTCCCCCTCCTCAACACCCTTCCCCTCTCACCCCTCCCTTTCCCTCTCCCCTTCATCCCTCCTCCTTCCTTCCCCCCTTCCTTCCTCTCCCTCTCGCCCCTCCCACTTACCTTACTCTCTTCCCCTCCATTTCTCCTTCCCCTTTTCCCCTCCCCCTCCCCCCTTTCCCTCTTCACCCCCTCCCCTTACCTTACTCTCTTCCCTCCCTTTCTCCTTTTCCACTCCCCCCTCCCCCTCCCTTTCCCCTTCCCCTTCCTTTCCCCCTTCACCACTCCACTTACCTTCCTCTCTTCCCCTCCCTTCCCCACTCCCCCTCCCTTTCCCCCTTCACCCCTCCCACTTACCTTACTATCTTCCCCTCCCTTTCCCCTTCCCCTTTTCCCCTCCCTTTCTCCTTCCCCACTCCCCTCCCCCCTCCCTCCCCCTCCCTTCCCCTCCCCCTTCACCCCTCCCACTTACCTTACTCTCCTCCGCTCCGCTGGCTTGCCCCTCCCCCTTCCTCTCTGGCCCCGCCCCCATCCCGTCGCCGCAGCCAATGGCGAGGTCGAACTGCATCATGTAGGAGGGGCCAACGCCTATGGACTTGGTCTCCATGAAGCGAGACACGCCCACGCCCGCTGACACGCCCTTGAAGACCAGCGCCGAGTCCCGCCCACAGAGGCCGCCCCCGAGCTCGCCGAGGTGGAATCTGTTGTGGGGGAGAAGTGGATAAGTGGGGAGATAAGTGGAATAATCTGGATTTTTTTGAGGGAAATGGATTAATGTGGATTTTTTTGTGGCATAGGGATGGGTTCTGATGGATAAGTGGAATAATCTGGATTTTTTTTAGGGAAGATGGATTAATGTGGATTTTTTTGTGGCATAGGGATGGGTTCTGATGGATAAGTGGATTAATATAGATTTTTATGGCATAGGGTGGTTCTGGTGAATAAGTGGATTAATGTGGATCTTTATGGCATAGGGGTGGGTTCTGGGTGGATAAGTGGATTAATGTGGATTCTTTTTGAGGTGAGGTGGATTAATGTGGATATTTTTTTAGGTGAGGCGGGTGGATGTGGATTTTTATGGGTCAGAGGTGAAGATTCTGGGTGGATAAGTGGATTAATGTGGATTTTATGACATAGGGGTGGGTTCTGGAAGGATAAGTGGATTAATATAGATTTTTATGACATAAGGGTGGGTTCTGGTGGATAAGTGGATTCATGTGGATTCTTCTTGAGGTGAGGTGGATTAATGTGGATATTTTTTTAGGTGAGGTGGATTAATGTGGATTTCTATGACATAGGGGGTGGGTTCTGGGTGGATAAATTGATTAATATGGATCTTTATGACATAGGGGTGGGTTCTGGGTGGATAAATGGATTAATATGGATTCTTTTTAAGGTGAGGTGGATTAATGTGGATATTTTTTTAGGTGAGGCGGGTGGATGTGGATTTTTATGGGTTAGAGCTGAAGATTCTGGGTGGATAAGTGGATTAATGTGGATTTTTATGGCATAGGTGAGGTGGGTGGATGTGGATGTTTTATGGCCCAAGGATAGTTGTGAAGCGAGTGGATGTACTTGCATGGCCACATATATTCAGGGAAAGTCTCGCTTAACAAATGGAAGCGAAAATAATTGAAGATTCTATATCAACACCAACACCCACAGCACCAACGCCACTCACAACACCCACAGCAACACCAAAACCCACAACACCAACAACGCTTAACACCACCCAAAACACTAAACACACCAACACCCACAACACCACCCACAATACCAATACCAACACCAGTTACATCAACACCACCCACAACACCAATGCAACCCACAAGACCAACACCACCAAGACTATACCGACAACATCACCACCCACAACACCACCATCCGCACCAACACCATCCACAACCCCTACAACCCCACACCACCACAATACCAACACTATACCGACATCACCACCCACAACACCAACAACACCAACACACCAAACATTATACCGACAACCCCTACAACCCCCCCCCACCACCACAACACCCTCGCCCCCACCCCACACACACAACCCCCACAACCAACCCACCTCAAGGAGCTGTTGGCCGCCGCCCCGTCGCTGAAATCCACCTCGATGTTGTTGAAGAGCTGCGACGTGATAGTGAAGTCGTCCACCGCCCAGATGTCTCTGCCGGCGCCCGAGTGGGTCTCCTGCCAGATCTGGAAGCGACATCCGGGACCTCTCGCGCCAGGGGGGAGGTCCAGGGAGATGTGGCTGCGGGGGGAGGAGGAGGGGAGGGGTGGGAGTTAATGGTGGGTTGTGAGGTGGGGGGTGAAGAGGGGGAGGGGTGGGGGTGAAGAGGGGGGGGGGTGGGGGTGAAGAGGGTGGGTAGGAGTGGAATTAAAGGGGGAAGAAGGGATGGGGGGAGGGAATAAGGGAGATGGTTGGGGGAGGGGGATGTGGGGTGAGGAGGGGGGATAAATTAAGCGTACGGGAGGGGAGGGATATTGGGGAGGTTGGGGAGAGAGAAAGGTGGGGTGAGAAGGGTGAGGGAAAAAATAAAGGAGGGGGAGGGAAGATGGGGTGAGGTTAGGGGAAAAAATGAAAGGGAAGGGAGTGTAGGGGAAAAACAAGGGAGATGGTTGGGTGAGAAAGATGGGGTAGGGGAGAAATTTAAGGGAGGAAGGTGGGGTGGGAGTGGGGGGAAAATTAAGGGGATGATAAAATTAAGGTGGGGGTCAGGGTTGGGGTTGAGATGGGGAGTGGGTAATTGGAATGGTTATATATAATTACATAATTGGATGTTTAGTAAGTCAATCTCAATTACTAGTATTTCTTGAAATGACTGATATAAAAACAATAATAACAACAAGTAATAACAAAAAAGGAAAAAATATATAAGCAACCAACCAAACAAAAAAAAACTCCCAAAAAAAGAAAAAGAAAAAAAAAAAGAAAAAAGAAAAAGAAAAGAAAGAGAAAAAAGAAAAGAAAATGACAAAGAAAAAAAGAAAAAAGAAAAAAGTAAAGAAGAAAAAAAGAAAAGAAAAGAACAGAAAATGGAAAAGAAAAAAGTAAAAAAAGAAAAAGAAAAAGAAAAAAGAAAAGAAAATGAAAAAAGTAAAGAAAAAGAAAAAAAGAAAGAAAAAGAAAAAGATAAGAAACGAAAAAAGAAAAAAAAAAAAAAAGAAAAGAAAAGAAAAGAAAAGAAAAACTTACACACACACACATATATATATATATATATTAATATATATATATATATATATATATATATATACATATATTATATATATATATATATATACATATATACATATATACATATATATATATATATATATATATATATATATATATATATATATATATATATATATATATATATATATATATATATATATATATATATATATATATATATATGTATATATATATATATATATATAGATATAGATAGATAGATAGATAGATAGATAGATAGATAGATAGATAGATAGATAGATAGATAGATAGATAGATAGATAGATAGATAGATCGATACACACACACACACACACACACACACACACACATATATATATATATGTATATATATATATATATATATATATATATATATATATATATATATATATACACACAACACACACACACACACACCCCACACCCCAACCCCCACCTCCCACCCCCCACCCCCCTCCACCCCCCAAAGCGAGCCCCACCCCCCCACCTGGGTTCCTTGTGCAGACTGGCGTGCAGCGTCCTGAGGAGGTGCCAGCTGACTCCGCCGTCGCAGGAGTAGTGCACGTACACGCTCTCCGCCGGGTCGTCCGGGCCGGGGCACTTGCCGACCTGATGATTATAATTGTGATGATAATGATGGTTATAACTGAGATGATGATGATGGTTATAACTGTGATGATGATGATGATGATGATGATGATTATAATTTTGATGATGATGATGATTATAATGTGATGATGATGGTTATAACTGTGATGATGATGATGATTATATATTTTGATGATGATGATGATTATAATTTTTGATGATGATGATGATGGTTATAACTGTGATGATGATGCTGTGATGATGATGATGATTATAATTGTGATGATGATGATGGTTATAACTGTGATGATGATGATGATTATAATTGTGATGATGATGATTATAATTGTGATGATGATGATGGTTATAACTGTGATGATGATGATTATAATTGTGATGATGATTATAATTGTGATGAGGAGGAGGATAATTGTGATGATGATAATTGTGATGATGATGATAATTGTGATGAGGAGGAGGATAATTGTGATGATGATGATAATTCTGATGATGATGATACTGATAATAATAATGCTGATGATAGTAATTATAGTATTAATGATTGTATTGATGGTAATGATAGTAAAATATAATGATAATAGTAATAATGATTATGATAATAATAATAATAACAATGGTAGTAATTATATCAATAATAATGATAGTAATGGTGATAGATAAAAATGATAATAATTCAAAATAATCAATATTAATAATAATAATAATGAAAAGGATAATAATGATAAACATAACAACAACACCGAAGATAACAAAAACCTTTACCAAACAGAAGACAAAAATGAATACATAAATAAATAAATAAAAATAAATAAATAAATAAATAAAAATAAAGTAATTAATTAATTAAAATAAATAGATAAATAAATAAATAAAAATAAATAAATAAATAAAAATAAATAAATAAATAAAAATAAATAAATAAATAAAAATAAATAAAAATAAAAATAAATAAATAAATAAATAAATAAATAAATAAATAAAACGAAAGCCACGCCCACAGACTCACATCGCTGACGGTGCCGCCCACGTAATGGAACTGCAGGAAGTGGGCGTGGGTGGTGTTGACGTCCACGGTGGTGAGAGCGCGCGGGCCCGCACCTCGGAAGACAGCAGCTGTCCCGGAACCCACGACGCCGCAGCTGTAGCTCGTTCTGCCTCCGGATACCTGGGGGTTGGGGGGGAAAGAGGGGGAGGAGAGAGGAGGGGAAGGTGGGAGGGGGAAGGGGGGAGGGAGGTGGGAGGAGGGTGGGGAGGGAGGGGAGAGGAGGAAGGGAGGGAGAGGGGAGGGAGAAGGGGGGGAGGGAGGGAGGGGGGGGAGGGAGGGAAAGGAGAAAGAGGGAGAGTGGGAGGGAGGACGGGGGAGAGAGAGGGAGAGGGATGGTGGGAGGGAGGGGGAGAGAGGGAGGTGGAAGGATGGAGAGGGAGACAGGTAAGGAGGGAAGGTGGGTGGGAGAGGGGTGGAGGAGGGAGGGAAGGTGGGAGGAGGGAGGGAGGGAGAGAGGGGAGGAGGGAGGAGGTGGAAGGATGGAGGGGAGGGGAGGGAGGGAGAGGGAGGGTGGGAGGAGGGAGGGGGGGAGAAGAGGGGAGGTGGGAGGGGAGAGAGAGGGGGAAGGGAAGAGAGGAGGGGAAGGGAAGAGAAGGGAGGGGGAGAAGAAAAGATATTAAAAAATCTAATCACACTAATCTACATACTAATGTCCTAATCCAACCCTAATGAATCGCAAAAAAAACAACTAATCATACACAATCCTACTAATCAACCCTAATTAACATACTTATCATACCCAAAACACAATCACAGCTAATCCTCCCTAGTCCTTTTCTAATTAAACTCCTACATACCAATCCTATCTAATCCTACCTTCTTAATCAACAAATCCTACCTAATCCTTCCCTAATTAAACACAATCCACATACCAATCCTACCTAATCCTTCCCTAATTAAACACAAATCCACATACCAATCCTACCTAATCCTTCCCTAATTAAACACAAATCCACATACCAATCCTACCTAATCCTTCCCTAATTAAACACAAATCCAAATACCAATCCTACTTAATCCTCCCCCCCTCAATCCCAACTTCCTCCCTAATCAACCACAAATCCACACACCTAATCCTCCCTAATCCTTCTCCTAATCCCACCCTAATCCTTCTCCTAATCCTCCCCCAATCAACCACAAATCCACACACTAATCCTCCTCCTAATCCTCCTCCTAATCCCTCTCCTAATCCTAATCCTACCTGCAGAATATTCGCCGAATCCGAGATGACGTTGGTGAACGGTTCAGACAGGTACAGCGGATTTTCTCTCTCGAAATCCTCGCACGCTGGGCCGCTGTAGCCGTACTCACACCTGCAGTTGGAAGGGAAAGTATCAGGTAGGGTCCTTATACTCCAGCTGAGAGGAAGAGTGCGAATTAAGGTCCTGAGGTAGAAGGAAGGGAAAGTATCAGGTAGGGTCCTTATACTCGGGCTGAGAGGAAGAGTGCGAATTAAGGTCCTAATACTTGAGGAAAGGGAAAAAAAGTATCAGGTAGGGTCCTTATACTCGGGCTGAAGGAAGAGTGCGAATTAAGGTCCTAATACTTGAGTTAGAAGGGAAAAAAGTATCAGCTGAGAGGAAGAATGCGAATTAAGGTCCTAATACTTGAGTTAGAGGAGAAAATATCAGGTAGGGTCCTTATACTCCAGCTGAGAGGAAGAATGAGAATTAAGGTCCTTATACTGAGGTAGAAGGGAAAAAAAGTATCAGGTAGGTCCTTATACTCGGGCTGAGAGGAAGAGTGCGAATTAAGGTCCTAATACTGAGTAGAAGGGAAAAAAGTATCAGGTAGATCCTATACTCGGGCTGAGACGTGGAATTTAAGGTCCTTATACTGATTAGAAGGGAAAGTATCAGGTAGGGTCCTTATACTCGGGCTGAGAGGAAGAATGCGAATGAAGATCCTTATACTTGAGGTAGAAGGGAAAGTATAGTAGGGTCTTATACTCGGGCTGAAGAGGAAGAATTAAGGTCCTAATACTCGAGTTAGAAGGAAAAAAATATCAGGTAGGGTCCTTATACTCCAGCTGAGAGGAAGAATGCGAATTAAGGTCCTAATACTCGAGTTATAAGGAAAAATATATATCAATAACCTAATATTTGAGTTAGAAGGGAAAAAAATATCAGTTAAGATCCTAATCCTTGAGTTAGAGTGAAAAATGTCAGTTAGGATCCTAATACTCGAGTTAAGAGGAAAAAATATAAGTTAAGATCCTAATACTTGAAAGAGGAAAAGGAGATAGAAGGAAAAAATGGGAATTTGTGTCCTAATACTCGAGTTGAGAATAAAGAATATAAATTAAGATCCTAATACTTGAGTTAGAAGGAAAAAAAATATCAGTTAGGGTCCTTATACTCGACCTGAGAGGAAGAATGCGAATTAAGATCCTAATACTCGAGTATTTGTGTGTTTGCATATTCCTGGTTCATTTAGCAATTTTCATAAATATCTGTGAATATATATGTATCATCTGTATTGGCGTGTCTGTACATCCTTAGTCCATATAGCAACTTTCATAAATATTCCTATATGATAAAAAATACAAACCACAGAATTACGTACTTGCACCGCCCATCCCGCTGGCAGAGACCACGCCCACTGCAGCCCCTGAGACACCGCCCCACGAACACGTTGTCCAGCGCCCACACCGTGTCCTCCTTAGAGTGCCCCGTGGCCTGCCTCACTCGAAGGCGGGTGTGGGGCGTGAGGGCGGGGTAGGGCAGGGGCAGGGTGACCAGGCCCCAGCTGAGGAGAAGGGGGGAGAGGGGAGGGGGATTTAGCAAGGTTAATGGGGTGATGGTATTTGTTCAGGGGGGGAGGGGGGAGTTGGCTGGGTAATGGGGAGATGGAATGGTCAGGGGGAGAGGGGAGGGGGGGGGGGAGGAGTTAGCAGGGTAATGGGTGAATCGTATTGTTCAGGGGGGAGAGGGGAGGGGGGGCGGAAAAGGGGAGAGAGCGTCGTGATTCCCTCTGCTTAAGTCTCCCCTCAAAAGTTAAGAGAAAATTGCCACTAGAGGGCAGCACCGGCCTCAAGGAGCACTGAGGCCGCCATGCCATGAGGCCTAAGATTTTTATAGACATTTACACATCCCGGGAAAGCAGCGGGAAGCAGCACGCGGTTAAATGACCTCAACCCTCTCATTTCTCTTATACTCCGTGTTGCTCACTTTTGTTTTTATTCTTTTTGTTGCAAGCTTTTAGGGTTTTTTTGTCACTTTTCGGTCCCGTGGATAATGAGTATCGGGAGACCATGGGTCAGGCCAGGAAATGAACAATATTTATCATAGCGGTGAGACATCTTGCTTGATTTTGTCGGAGCTTTCTAATAAATGTATTAGCATTTTCTTGGATTTTCTTTTTTACATAATCTCTTACGACCGGCACAGAAATAAATACATATCTATTTGTCTTGACATGCATAATAACCGAATAGATAGATCAATGTCTATCTATCAGACAGACGGATATGCATATATTTTTTTGCGTGTATGCAGGTCCATACCTATGACTATTAAACTGGCCTCACTCAATTTTAACAAAGGCATTTATTCTTCCAAACTCCTTATATTCCATTCATAAATCTCCTTCATAAACCTCCTCATTCATAAATCTCATTCACAATCCTTCATAATCTCATTCATAAATCTCTTCCTTCACAAACATCCTCCTTCATAAATCTCATTTCACAAAATCTCACTCCACAAATCTCATTCATAAATCTCCTCCTTCACAAACCTCCTCCTTGACAAACCTCCTCCTTCGACTTACCTGTCCACAGCGTGCCTCGTGATGGTGGAGGTGAGCGCCGAGTGGCCGCCCATGCAGCCCCCTGGGAGACACCGCCTGTGCAGGGACGTCCAGCGCCGCCCACCGTCTGTGCTGCTCTCCACGTCCACCTCCGCCACCTCCTCCGCGCCCTCGCCACACTCCAGGTTCACTCGGGCCTGACGGAGGCGTAAGTGTACTTAACTGGGTGTACGTATGTGTATATGCTAGTGCCTACGTACAAAAATAGTCACATATACCGGTAGATGTTTTTTTTTTAATAACTTTCAGCAACCCCCGGGGCCTATATCTTCTTCTTCTTCTTCTTCTTCTTCTTCTTCACTACCCTTCCATCTCCATCCCTTTCCACCTCCACCTCCTGCTCCTCCTCCCCTCCCTCCTCCTTCTCTCCCCCCCTCCCTCCCACCTCCTCCCTCCACCTCCTACTCCCCCTCCTCCTCCCCTCCTCCATTTCCACCTCCACCTCCTGCTCCCCTCCCCCTCCTCCTCCCCCTCCCCCTCTCTCCTCCCCCTCCCCCCCCTCTGCCCCCCGAGACCCACCTGGAAGAAGAACTCCGGTTGGGTCGGGAGCCAGGACAGGGCGAGGACCTCCTGAAGGAGCCACACATCGACGTCCTGGCTCACTTCCTCCCGCTGTTCCACGCAGAATCTGGGGAAGGCGCGGCAAATTCAAATCTAAATTCAAATTCAAAATACTTCTTTTTCCATTTATTACATTGGTTATTCTTATCATACACATAATGATATTAAAGTACATATAAATATAAGTTTTCAAATTCAAAATACTTTTTTTTCCATTTATTACAACGGTTATTCTTATCATACACATAATGATATAAAAGTACATATAAATATAAGTTAAACATCGAATTAATGGTAGTACATATAAATCATGTCCATTCCTATATTTTGAAACCTGATGCCATTGGTGATTTAAGAAAATGTTCCTTTAATTTGTCTTTGAATGTATTTGATTTTTGAATGTTTCTTATATTATATGGTAGTTACTTCCAGATCATTGGTCCTCGTGACAGTGTCTGTCGTGCCCCTATGTCTGTACGTGATCTTCTGACATAGAGGGAGTTACCTTGTCTTGTTTGGACACAGGTTGTATTACCTACTATAGTGACAATCCACTTTTTATTACCTCTATAGTGAAACCTTACTTAATAATTTGTTTCTTGCTTTCTTTCTTTCTTTCTTTCTTCTTTTTAAGTGTTATTATCATTGCTTTTCATATCGTCAAATTTGTTTTTCTTTCTTTCTTTCTTTCTTTTCTTTAGTGTTGTATCATTTATTTTCATATCGTCAAATTTGTTTTTCTTTCTTTCTGTCTTTCTTTTCCTTTTAAATGTTATCAATCATTGCTTTTCATATCGTCAATTCTGTTTTTCTTTCTTTCTTTTCTTTTTAAGAGTCATCAACCATTGCTTTTCACACCGTCAAAACTGGAAACCTGACCTTCCACACCCCCACCAAACCTAAAACACCCCAATCCCCCACAGAACCACCCTTCCCCACACACCATACACCCCACGCTAACAACCCTACCCCCGCTACCTGGTATGATGAAGCTGGTTCTCCTTCTGGACGGGTATAGTGTAGGTATCCATCGTCCACGAGAGAATATGGTGCCACAGCAACGACCGGAAAGTGCCATGGTCAGCGAACACGTCCACGCTCACTCGCTGGCTGTGGGACGTGTGGCACTCTCCAAGCTGCATCTTCAGGGCCACGGTGCCAATGGTCCTGCTCGGGAGAGGGTCAGTAATTTACATACCCTGCATACGTATGATCACTTTATCTATTCATATCTATCTATCCTTCTTTTTATATCTATATTTTTATATGTATATTTTATATCTTTTTATATCTATCTATCTATTCATATTTTTATATCTATCTATTATTCATATTTTATATCATCTATCTATCATATTTTTATAATCTATCTATCTATCTTTTTATATCTATCTATCTATCTTTTTATATCTATCTATCTATGCTTTTATATCTATCTATCTATCTTTTTATATCTATCAATCTATTCTTTATATCTATCTATTTTATATTTATATAATTTTTATATCTATCTATATATCGTTTTTATATCAATCTACCTATCTATCTATCTTTTTATATCTATCTATGTATCTATCTATCTTTTTATATCTATCTACCTATCTATATATCTTTTTAAATCTATCTATGTATCTATCTATCTTTTTATATCTACTATCTCTATCTATCTATCTTTTTATATCTATCTATGTATCTATCTATCTTTTTATATCTATCTATGCATCTATCTATCTTTTTATATCAATCTACCTATCTATCTATCTTTTTATATCTATCTATGTATCTATCTATCTTTTTATATCTATCTATGTATCTATCTATCTATCTGTTTTATATTTATCTACCTATCTATCTATCTATCTATCTGTCTTTATATATCTAACTATGTATCTATCTTGTTATATCTATCTACCTATCTATCTATCTATCTATCTTTATATATCTATCTATGTATCTATCTTTTTATATCTATCTGTCTGTTTCCTTTGTCTATCTATCTATCCATTAACCTACCTATCGATTTGCCTATCCAGTCTGCCTGTCTATCTGTCTATCTACGTAGGTATATGTCTATCTATTTGGTTATCTGATGTTTTTTGGGATATTTGATTGTCCAAAATAGCATAAATGTGTAAATGTATGTATGTATACATATGCATATGAGGTTTTTAGTATACAAATACATACATACATACATACACACAACACACACACACACACACACACACACACACCACACAACACCAGTGTGTGTGTATGTTTGTGTGTTCGAGTCAGAGTGGTGGTGGTGTGTGTGTGTGTGTGTGTGTGTGTGTGTGTGTGTGTGTGTGTGTGTGTGTGTGTGTGTGTGTGTGTGTGTGTGTGTGTGTGTGTGTGAGTGTGTGTGTGTGAGTGGTGAGTGTGAGTGGAGTGTGAGTGTGAGTGTGAGTGTGAGTGTGAGTGTGAGTGTGTGTGTGTGTGTGTGTGTGTGTGTGTGTGTGTGTGTGTGTGTGTGTGTGTGTGTGTGTGTGTGTGTGTGTGTGTGCACGAGTGTGAGTGTGTGCATGCGCATGCTTATGTGTGCGCATGCGCCCTCACCTGGCATCCATGAAGGGCGAGCAGATCTTCCTCCGCCTCCGCCCGCATCACCGAGCGCCGCCTCACTGCCGCACTTGGCCACCTGCCCGCCCGACACCTCCCACCTGTGAGGGGGGGGGAGAAATGAGTCTCTGGCGGGAAAATGAGGGAGATAAGGGTGAAATGAGTCTCTGGGGGAGAAAAATGAGGGAGATAAGGGTGAAATGAGGGTGATGGGGGAGAAAATGAGGTGAGAGGGAGACAATGAGGGTGATGGGGAGAAAATGAGGGAGATAAGGGTGAAAATGAGTCTCTGGGGGAGAAAATGAGGGAGATAAGGGTGAAAATGAGGGTGATGGGGGAGAAATGAAGGGGTGAATGAGGGAGATATGAGGAAGATAAGGGGTGAAATGAAGGGTGATGAAGGGGAGAAAATGAGGGTGATCAGGGAGAAATAGGGAGATAAGGGGTGAAAAATGAGGGTGAAAGGGAGAAATGAGGTGATGAGGGAGAAAATGAGGGTGATGAGGGAGAAAATGAGGGAGATTGAAAATGAGGTGATGAGGGGAGAAATGAGGTGATGAGGGAGAAAATGAGGGAGATAAGGGTGAAAAAATGAGGGTGATAAGGGAGAAAATGAGGGTGAGAGAAAATGAGCTGAGGGAGAAAATGAGGGTGATGAGGGAGAAAATGAGGGAGATAAAGGGTGAAAATGAGGGTGATTAAGGTAGAAATGAGGTGATGAGGGAGAAAATGAGGGTGATTGAGGGAGAAAAATGAGGGAGATAAGGGTGAAAATGAGGGTGATAAGGGAGAATGAGGGTGATGAGGGAGAAAATGAGGGGAGAATAAGGGTGAAAATGAGGGTTGATGAGGGAGAAAATGAGGTCGAGTGGGGAGGAAAATGAGGCTCTGGGGGAGAAAATGAGGCTCTAGGGGAGATAAATTAAGGTGAGCGGAGATAAGCTGCGGGGAATGAGGCTGATGAGGGAAAATTAGGGTATTGGGAGGAAACGATGGTGGAATGATGGGGGATAAACGGTTCTGGTCGTGAAGACTGTGATGGTAAAAAAGTGATGATGATGGAGGGGAGATAATGGAGGTGAGAATGATGAGATGATTATCATCCACCCAACCACTCATCCACCAACCATCCACTCATCCACCATCCACCCACCAGCAACCCCCAACCCACCCAAACCCCCCCACCCCCCAACCCAACCCACCCTCCACCCCCAACCACCCACCCCACCCACCCCAACCCACCCCCAACCCACCCTTGGAGGAACGAAATCCGCGAAGTCCTGTCTCAAGACGACGTCCTCCTCCAGCGGCGCGAAGGAGAGGTCGAGGAGCCGGGTGCTGGCCCAGGAGACCTCGCCCGCGCCCTCGAAGACCAGGCCGTTGCCCTCCGACGAGCAGGATTCCTGGAGGGGGAGAGAGAGGGGGGAGGGGGTTGGTAATGGAGGAAAAGGGGGTTGGTAATGGAGGGAAAAGGGGGTTGGTTGGTGCGGAATGGGACGGGGGTGGGGGTGAGAGGGGGGAGGGGGTTGGTAATGGAGGGAGAGGGGGGAGGGGGTTGGTAATGGAGGGAGAGAGGGGGTGGGTTGGTGCGAAGTGGGACGGGGTGGGGGTGGGGTGAGAGAGGGGAGGGGGTTTGGTACGGAGGGAGAGGGGGGGGTTGGTAATGGAGGGAGAGGTGGGGGGGGTGCGAAGTGGGACGGTGGGGTGAGAGGGGGGAGGGGGTTGGTGCAAAATGGGACGGGTTGGGGGGGGTGAGAGGGGGGAGGGGGTTGGTAATGGAGGGAAAGGGGGGGTTGGTAACGAAATGGGACGGGGTGGGTGAAAAGGGGTAGGGGGTTGGTACGAAATGGGACGGGGTGGGGTGAGAGGGGGAGGGGTTGGTACGAAATGGGACGGGGTGGGGTGAGAGGGGTAGGGGGTTGGTACGAAATGGGACGGGGTGGGGTGAGAGGGGGGAGGGGTTGGTACGAAATGGGAGGGGACGGGGTATGAGGGATTTGGTACAAAATAGGACGGGTTTGGTACGTAGGAGAGGGTGTTTGGTACGAAATGGGACGGCGTAGGGTACGAAAACAGAGAAATCTGCTACGAAATGAGAGGGATATGAAGCAAAATGCGAGAGGGATATGAAGCAAAATGCGAGAGGGATTTGATACAAAATAGAACGGGAATTGCTACAACATGAGAGGGTGTTGGATCACAATCGGAGAGATCTGGACCAAATTAACGGAATTCCCTCTAAACACCAGGTTTTTCCCTCCGATGAACAATATTCCTGGAGAGCAAAACGGAACGGAATCTAATCCACTGTTTTTTTTTATTATTAAGTTGCAAGTCAAATGAACATAGAAAAATCCGGTTATATTTCAGATTGGGACGGGCGATTTGCAAGTTATTCACGTCGTCATAATGTTGAAAATCATAATAACATCAATAGCATTAGAAAAAATACTAAAAAAACTCAAGGAAAACGGAAATGAGGATGAAGTTAGAGGATGAAGTTAAGTAGGCCTACAAACAAAATTCACAAAAGAAAACTGCAGTCGAAGGTACACACAACATTGGGTGCAATTAAGTATTATCAATTCGTATTAATAACCTGTATGTTCAACGAAATATTGATCAGGAGTTGATAACTTTAAGCCAGTATTATCTCTCTTAGTTGCTTTCCTTTTTCCTTTTTCCTTTTTCCTCTGTCTCTGTCTCTGTCTCTGTCTCTGTCTCTGTCTCTGTCTCTGTCTCTGTCTCTGTCTCTCTCTCTCTCTCTCTCTCGGCTAAACTCCGCCCCCAACCGCTCTTATCCAATAACAACCGCGCCCTCACCTTCACGCTCGCCCCCGGGAAGAAGAACCAATTGGAAGGATCCACGGGGTCGAAGTCGTCGCTGATTGGCTCAGACGAGGACTCGTGGTTAGCCAATGCGACGTCGTCCAGAGACCAGCAGACGGAGGTGTTTCCACCAATGGGAGCGCTCCGCCAGCCGACGCAGACACCGGGGCGACGGAAGCGGAGAGGAATCACCTGCAGATGCACTTCGCCGGATCCGCTCGGGCTGATCAAAACAAAACAAAACAGTGACTGAAGCGAATGAATAAATACATGAATTGAATAAAAACAAAACAGTGACTGAAGCGAATGAATAAATACATGAATTGAATAAAAAACAAAACAGTGACTGAAGCGAATGAATAAATACATGAATTGAATAAAAACAAAACAGTGACTGAAGCGAATGAATAAATACATGAATTGAATAAAAACATGAAGCGAATGAATAAATACATGAATTGAATAAAAACAAAACAGTGACTGAAGCGAATGAATAAATACATGAATTGAATAGACAATCATTTGGATTCTTCAAATTAAAAGTGACTGAACTGATTAGCGAATGAATAAACACATGAATTGAATAATCATTTGGATTCTTCAAATTAAAAGTGACTGAATCGATTATGAATGAATAAACACATGAATTGAATAATCATTTGGATTCTTCAAATTAAAAGTGATTGAACTAACTAGCGAATGAATAAACACATGAATTGAATAATCATTTGGATTCTTCAAAGTAACAGTGACTCAATTGATTACGAATGAATAAACAAATGAATTGAATAGACAATCAATTGGATTCTTCAAATTAACAGTGACTGAACTGATTAGCGAATTAATAAATACATGAATTGAATAATCATTTGGATTCTTCAAATTAAAAGTGATTGAACTGATTAGCGAATGAATAAATACATGAATTTTAATAGACAATCATCTGGATTCTTCAAATTAACAGTGACTGAACTGATTTCGCGAATGAATAAATACATGAATAGATAATCATCTGGATTCTTCAAATTAACAGAGACTGAACTGATTAGCGAATGAATAAATACAATCCTTGAATGGATAATCATTTGGCTTATTCAAATTAACAGCGTATGCACAAGTAACGGAATAAATAAACAGTTCAGTAAGGGGTATTTAAGTAAATATGTCCGCGCATAAACAGTAGCCATGACGAAGAGGGGAGGCGGGGGGGGGGGGGGGCTGACAGAGGGACCCTCAAACCACACTTGTTATGCAAGTTCAATTTAATATGTCTTTGTTGAAGCAACGGCAAATATCGGATAAAGTTCAGAGAAGTAGGTAAGTCAATCAATGTCTTTTCTCTCCGACTCTTGATAAGTTTAAGAAGATGAGCTAACATGTTTTCTTATGTAAATAGCTGACTATCTATGTTTTCATTCTTTCTTAGCTGTGTCTTGACCTGCACTGACACCTCTGGTGGTATAAATCTTGACTTTTTTTTCTGTGGGGCCCTTTATATAGCTTACAACAACAACAACAATAATAAGAATAAGAATAATGATAACAATAATAATGATAATAATAATAAGAATAATAATAACAAAGATAATAATAATAATAATAATAATAATAATGAAAAATAATAATAATAACAACATAATAAAAAAAAATAAAGATAATGATAATGATAATAATAAAATAAATTAATAAAAAATAAAGATAATATATAATGATATATAATATAAAATAACAATAATAATAATATAATAATAACAATAATAATAATGATAATAATAACAATAATAATAATAATAACAATAATAACAATAATAATCACAATAACAACAATCTCAGCAGACGCATATCCAGCCACGCCCCCACGCCCACCTGTAGCTGTGGGCCTCCTCCCACGACGCGCACTCGGTCCCCAGCACGAGCCCTGCCAGCGGGTCGTCTGCGTGAGGGTCAAAGGTCACGGCGTCCGGGCTCCCTCCGCCAGAGCCTCCCCCGCTGCCGGAGCTGAGGTCGTCCTGGCTGCTGGTGTAGGCGCTGACGACGGCCCGTGGCGCAGGTACTTCTGGGCCCTGCGGTGGGTGGGTTTTTGTGGGTTTTGTGGGTGGTGGGTGGTGGTGGTGGGTGGGGTGGGGAAAGGTTATTCAGGTGATTGCTAACCAAAGAGTAAATATATATATATATATATATATATATAATATATATTATATATATATATATATATATATATATATACCTAAAAAAGCTACAATTCGAGAAGGAAAATTGCAAAAATTATAAACCATTCCCAAAATAGTACCGGCTTCCTACCTTTTTTATAGATATAAATAAAAATACAAAAAATACCCATCGTATAAAAGTTTTGTATTTTTGTATTTCTATAGATATATACCAAAATAAATTGATGACTCAAAATATAAAAACACCATACTCTTTAAAATTTTGTGATTTTTCTTTCTATTTTCTATTTCCATAAAATACCTACACAAAGAAAAAAAAATGAAAACCACAAAACAACAATATCGACAAAGTGTATATTCTGCATTCCTATAAATACAAACAAACAAATAAAAAGATACAAAAAAACACAAAAAAAATACAAAAAACACAAAACAACCAATATCGACAAAGTGTTATATATTTCTGCATTCCTATAAATACAAACAAACAAACAAATAAAAAGATACCAAAAAAAAAAAAAAACACCACCCACCTTTAACAGGTATATACTCCCCTGCCTCTGCCAGCGCTGTACCGAAGACCAACTGTATTTTGGCGTGTTCCTCACAGGCCCCTCCGCCCAAGGTGAACTGGAGGTGACGTGCTGGAAAGAGAGGATTTAAGATAAGCATTTAAGGATTTTGTTTTAATTCCGTTTGATAAGGCTTCCTCACAGTGTGCTGGAACTGGAGCGACGTGCCTGGAAAGCAAGGATTTAAGATTTTTAAGGTTTGCGTTTGATGCGATGGAGATTTAAGATCTTAATCATTTGAAGATTTGTTAATATCCGACCGATGGGTTTTATTTGCTGTGGCATATTGTTTGTTTTATTTTGCTCCGCCCAAGGTGAATTAAGAAGCTGGAAGGAGAGAGAAATTATATAAGGATAAGGATTTTTTTTTCGTTTTAATGTTGTTGGCCGTTTGAATGCCAAGGTGAACTGGAACACGTGCTGGAAGGAGAGGTGAAGATCTTAAGCATTTGAAGATTTTGTTTTAATTCCGTTTGATACGATGGGTATATTATTGGCTGTGGCATATTGTTTGTTTTATTTCGCTTCTAAATCTGCCCCCTGTGTGCCATCCACTGGCAGCGCGCGGGATCGAACGCAGGTCAGCGAGATTGCTAGACCAACATGCTATCCGCTGCACCATACAACAAACAAGAGAAGGGAAATGGTAAAGAGAGTGGATGAGGAGAGGGAAATGTGGATGAGGAGGGGGAAATGTGGATAAAGGGGGAAATGTGGATAAGGGGGGAAATGTGGATAAAGAGGGTGGATGAGGAGGGGTGAAATGTGGATAAAGGGGGGAATGTGGATAAAGAGAGTGGATGAGGGGGAAATGTGGATAAAGAGTGGATGAGGGGAAATGTGGATAAAAGAGAGTGGATGAGAAGTAAAATTGGAAGATTGTCGAAAGAGATAATTGGGTGATGGGATGGAATGAGAAAGGTATGATTTATGTATGGATAAATTGGTTATTATATATATTGGAATTGTATATAGTTCAAATTGTATATAATCACTGTATACTGTAATCATATGCAGTTGTTATATAGTTAAATGATATATAGTTGAAATCATATAGAGAAAACTATAAATATAGTTGATATTACATATAGTCAAAATGACATATATTTGAAATCATATACAGTTAAGTTATATAGAGTTAAAATCATACGAAGTTCAAATCATATATATCTGGAATTATATATAATCAAAGGATGGATTTGATTTATATATGACAATTTATCAAAATTACAAGGGGAATAACATGCCATAAAACTAATACATAAACAGATTATTATGTATTATCAATAAAAGAGAAATATATAAACAATATGGTTACATTTACAGGATAATAAGTTAGGCTGATAAAACACAATAAACGAAAATGATAAATGGATGCTAAATTAATACTGAATGGAATTAACGAATGAATATCGTATGAAATAAATGAATAGGAAAATAGGAAACAGGCAAAAAATATATATGCCCAATGAACAGTAAAAAATAAGATAAAAAATAAGCAGGAATTGAAAACAATGAAACAAGATATCAAACACAGAAGTTTCGAGAAAAATGTGTAGCCACTTTCGAGTCCTAAAACTCGACATGTAATGGGAGACAAAATTATTATGATATAAAACAATTCAATCACCATTAAAAACACTTGAAAAAAATGTAGACCATTAATATGCAATAAAACATAAAAATATACCATATACGCCACAACAGAAAAAAATATACTAGTACGTCACAATAGACAAAACAGATAAGAACTAAAACTGTTTTTAGACAAATAAATCAAACTGATAGATGGAGGATAAATCTAATCGACACATGAATACCCAGTAAAATGAAATTAATATATGAAATAAAATGAATAGAAAAAATAAGAGAAAAAAGATATCCAGGTAATTATGATAATAATATTGATAATAATAAGAAAAAAAATACGAAACACCTCAAAATATGAAAAAAGAGAGAAAATAAAATAAAAAACTCACCCAAAGAGAGGTCAAGAGGGACGGACGAAATGGAAGTCTCCGTCTCGAAGAAGGAGGCGGTTGACCCCTGACCTGTCTGACCTCGCCTGACCTCGCCTCCTCGGATTTCGTTCCTGCAGAAGGAAGGCACATGTTTTATGGTGGAAAATATAGACTCAAAACAGATTTGTTAAAGGATGAGACTCACCTTTGGATATATACATAAAAACATACATGTATATAGATAGATAGATATAGATATAGATATATACATACATATAGATATACACAATATATGTGTGTATATGTGTGTGTATGTGTGTGTGTGTGTGTGTGTGTGTGTGTGTGTGTGTGTGTGTGTGTGTGTGTGTGTGTGTGTGTGTGTGTGTGTGTGTAGATATGTTATGTATGTATGTATATATATATAATATATATATATATATATAATATATATATATATATAATACATGTATAGATATACATATGTATAGCGCACTACACACACACACACACACACACACACACACACACACACACACACACACACACACACACACACACACAACCACACACACACCTATATATATATATATATTATATATATATATATATATAATATATATATATATATATATATATATTTGCATACATTTAACAAACAGAGAAATAGTAAGCCAGACAGACGCAGAAAGAGACAGCAGCAAGCACCGAAAAATTACAAAACAAATGAGAAAAAGAAATTAATAAACAACTAAAACAGCCAACTAAAGACAAAACAGAAAAACAAGGAAACAAGTAATCAAAAACAAAAGCAAAACAATCAAAACAACAAAAGCAAACAATTAATCGGCAAAACAGGTAAACAACCAAGGAATTAAACGACAAAACACCCAAACAGCAAAATAACTCAAAAACTAAACAACAAACCAAACAAACAAACTAAACAAACCAAAAAATACCCCCAGCTCTCCCCGCTCACCAAATCTGTTCGTTGAGCTGGCCGTCCTCGAAGTCATCGCGGAAGACGAAGCCAGGGAGCGCGAATCCGGACAAGCCCGGGCGGGGCGCTCTCAGCTGAGCGGAGGCGTCTGGGGGAGGGGAGAGGGGGGCGGTGATCGGGGAGGGGGAGGGGGGTTAGTTTTTTTTTTTTCTATTTTTCTAGTTTTATTATTTTCATTATCATCTTTTGATGTTTGTGGAAAATTAATGCGATGTGTCGTGAATATATTAGAAAATCAATATATATATATATAGATAGATAGAAATAATGATCATAAATAAATAAATATATATATATATATATATATATTATATATATTATATATAATACGTTCATAATATATGCATGTAATATATATATACATATATATGTTATTATATATATATATATATATATATATATATATATATATATATATATATATATATATATATATATATATACACATAGATTGATATATACAAAAAACTCACTGATAGATTCATACACTGATTGACCGATTTAATGATCAATATACAGACTGACGCATAAATACACATACACATACATATATATTTATATACATGTCTAGATAGATCAACATACACATATCTTTTGTGTCTTACCTTTTTCACATATTTCCAAGACATTGAGGTCCTTGAAAAGCACCTGCTCGCCTATGGACCCTTGCGCGCTGAAGAGGAAGAAGGAGA